CCACAGTTCACATCACCCGCACTTCTACACAGCTTAAGCCTGATGGGAGGGAGTAAAGAAGACAGAGCCAGACTCTCCTTTGCTGGAGTTAATGGCATAGGGTGTTACAATGACCTTCTGCTCCCTGTGTTCAGGAATTTGAAGGTTTGGGTTTTTTCCCCAAACCTTTAGGGAGGAGAAGGCAAGTCTGTAGAGTTATTGATACCATGTTAGTTGGTGTTCTGGTCTTTAGCTGTGTGCCTGCACAAGCCTGAGCCTGTGAGTGCTGCTTCATACTAGCAAGGCAAGAGCGAACCACCTATCCTTTGTGTTGGTGCAATCTGGGTTTGGTTTAGCTGTTGGGGATCACATTGCAGAGCAGTGAGAGACGCAAGCTTGTTCCGTCTCTCCATTTTGGATTATGACTGTTGACTGAATGTGGGTGTCCTTGGTTTTGCTAATAATTTTTCCTAATTCTGCTCCTGCAACAGACACTATGGGTTTTCTGAGCGCTTCGCACCAGCACGCAGCAGACTATGTTGTAAGGGAAATGTAAGAGACAGCTACACAAAAAAAAAAGTCTTACAATCTCTTGTGATGATCTGGTGTGATCATCTGTTGAGATATTCCAAGGAGCTTTATGGGTAAGTTGTTCCAAGGCCAGATTTTCACTGAAGGGAGTAAGGAGAATCACGATTATTACTGAATTTGGGCTGTATATTGCAGCTGTGTTCTGTGGGAGAGGAAATGCTGGAGAGTTTAAAGCTGTTGACTGGCAGAGGAGCAATGCTAGTTTGCAACCTTGCCGCCACCCAGTATAATGCGGTTTCTAGTTTGGATCAGTTCCAGCTGTCAGACCCCAATTTACTAACCATGTTGGGAAGGACACAAGTTTTCTTTTAGAAGGTCAGTATCATTTAAGGTTATTGAAAGCAAGGAAACGTGTTCCACCTTTGTAAGGAAAACATTGCCGTGGAGTTTTTAGGAGCCACACGGTTATAATGAATAACGAATGTATGGTACTTTGTGTAGTGTTTAGTTCACCCTGAGAAAGAGAAAATAATGGAAGTCTCTTCTTTCTGCCTGTGTGTTCAAACGAAGGAAAATCAAAGCTGTTATACCAGAGCTATATATCAGCTAATATATTTTAGGAACTGTGGAATGATCATAATTACAAAAAAGTCCTCCAGAGAGAAATTATGACTCATAGTTTATGTTCTCTTTAGTGTTGCTATGGAAAAAGAGGTTAGTGCCAATGGTCATACAGCAATATTAATCTCTGATCTGAAAGAAAAATAAATAACAATCTCTAGCTTAACCCAAAGCAGATTTATTCTCAGTTACTGCAGCACACTCCATTAAAGGGGATAACCATGTAAGAAAAATTAAAGATGACATTGATTATCAGTTTTCAACATGCAGTTAGAGAGAGTTCCTTATTTGAATTAGTGTGCACTTCAGACTCCTGCAAATGACTCAGTGGAGTGAGAGGAAGAGAAAAAAAGACATTTTGATCAAAAGGAGGGCAGGAAAGATCAGCCACCACCGACAGCTGCAAGTATGCTGATTAAAATTTCTTTATGCATGGAGTTAGACTCAGCCTGGGGTTGATGCTGGTTCAAACGCAGATCCTGAAACAAAACCCTGGCAATGGGCAGTTTAAAGTGGTGGAAAGTGGCTGCCAGCCTTTTTCCGTTTATTTGGGAAAGGGAGTCAGAGGGTGGCGGATACTTATGTGCTGAGTCAGCACCCTTCAGGCTGCTCTGGCAGTTGCTTCCTGCCAGTTGTTTAGTTGCCTAGGCAAAACCCTAACCAGGACTGGGGCCAAACAGCTGTGTGCTTGCTTTGCTCGGGGTGGTGAATCTTTTTCTTTGCATGCAGGAAAACTACCTGACACCTTCCTCTTGACACCTAGAGTGAGCGTGTGTGTCTTAGTGGATCACAGTAAAACTTTTCTACCTGTGTACTTGGCTGTTTTCAGGAGTTGGAGCTACACTTGCTCCGTTGTATGCAGTTACTGACAGCAAAGACCTTGCAGTCAGAAGTTAGCTTGAAATTTTGCTCACGATGCACCCTGCAAAGCAGGCTATAGCCTTCCTTTCTGCCACACTGTTGCATCTGCCGTGCTGATGGCAGTAAAACTTTTTATTCTGTTGATGAGCTAAGCAGATTGGATTGGGGAGATACACAGATCTCATGTCCTGCATCTATGCACACAGCTCTTACTGATGGTCACAGGAGTTGTACGTGTGGCCCAAAAATGTTGTACGGCTCAGGGAGTCCTTTGAGCCAGCTGAAGGCTTTTCACTGACTTTCAGGGTTCGAGTGGTCCCTTGCTGAACAGTTTGCCCTCTAACAAATTGCCATTGCTTCACTAATTCTTCAGTTTACCTCTTTTTTAAGTGTGTGACTATCAGTCAGCAGTCACATAACTGTTTGGCATTACAGCCTATAAGAACAATTGGTTTTCATTGCATCAGCGTAAAGGGCATACAGATATATTTTACCTTCTGATCCTTTTCTTCTTCCCTTTCTTCTGTCTCTTTAATCATCAAACATGCTTCAGTCAGGCCCCCTGTGAGGGCTTTCACTGCACTCTCTTACTCGACAGTGAAATGGTCCAGAAAGCCCATATCTGTGCCTTTTCATAGAGGAGCTGGCTCATAGATTAGCATGTGGGGGTCAACAGGATGCTCTTTGCCCTTTCCCCTAAAAGGGGACAGAAATGTCAGCTTGTTTTCTGGCATTGAAAATGGAAGTATCAGCAGCCGCTGAGTGCTGCTAGTTTAAATATTTATACCATAAGGACTTTATCACACCCTCTTTCTTTGTGCAAAGGTCCCACCGATTTCAGTGGAGGTCAAACTCTAAATCCGTGCAGCAGCTAACAGGTCAGGTCTTCCACGGAATAATGGTACGAGTGGAGCTCACGGGCAGATGCTATGCTCGTGTTATCGTGTCAAGAAGGGTAAACAAGCAGTTTTTAAAAAAAGTAATTATGTAGACAAACCTGTCAGCACAAGCATGGAATACCCCTGCATATGCTTGACATCTGCCAACCTGACAAGATCCAGGCACATACTTCAGATACGTGAAAGAATACAGTGCTGCTGGTGCTGCAGTCTGTCTCCCCCCTGAAACACTAAGTTTTGCAGACTAATGTTTTTAGTCAGGACTTGAAAATGGAAGGAGAGGGGAAGAAACAGCTTGGGGGACATCTCTAGGTTATAAGATAGCACAAAAGCAGACATTTGCGAGTTGCGTAAACATTTTTCTTTCTTGCAAAGCATGCTTTCTTATGTTTGTTAGGATTACAGGCCTGCTTGTCCTTGTAAACATATGATTGTGATGGAGAAAATGTTTAATTCTAGTCCTGAAACTGATGGCTGTGAGTGTAGTGTATCCTGAAGTGGGTATTTGAATTAATTCTCAGAGATTCTCAGTATCTGCATTTCCAATGGTTTTACTAGATAGCCTGTAATGCTCTTAAAACACTGCGCATGGGATTCGTTTCAGCATCTCTAAAACTGGATAAAGCGTGGCCAGGTGTCTTGTTTGAATTAAAGCTTAGCAGGACAAACAAACCAGGCATATCTGAAAGTGAAATGTAAACATGATGCTGGGGTTCCTGGTTAGTGCTTGGTGGCTGTGAGAAGTTGACAGCTGTTACATAAAGGTTAAATGTGCATTTTTTGGTCTGTCAGTAAAATTAAGCCTCCTAAAGACTATGTGACACTCTAGAAAATGTGAATTTATCTGTGTGCATAAACAGAATACACACTTCAATATAAATATGCGTTCAGGACTATTTAAAGTATTAGAAGTATGCTGCAGTCCAATAAAAAATGCAGATGGAGTTAGCAGATTTTGGAAAGTGCCTGACTACATTCAGATGTGCTAGAGATCTGACAAGTGTCTGGAAAGTGAAGTCTGAGCACTGGCGTTTGCATTGCCAAATAACAGCAAAGGATGAGAAAGAAAATGGCATAGGTACAATGGGGATATGAACTGAAGTAATAAATTCTTGACCTTTAAATTTCATCTTTGCCAACTTCTCAGACTACTTCTCCCAAAGACTGACATGACTGTGGTTTATGTTATGCTTTTATTTGCCATATTTGTAGTTAGTTACAAGTAAAAATGATTTAAATCCATTGTAGTTAATACAAAATAAACATATAGCTGCACAGGTTATGCCATGATTTTTCTTACAAACAGTATCTCCTATAAAGAATCATAGAATCAGAATCGTTTAGGTTGGAAAAAACCTTTAAGATCATCAAGTCCAACCGTAAACCTAACACTGCCAAGTCCACCACTAAACCATGTCCCTAAGCACCACGTCTACACGTCTTTTAAATACCTCCAGGGATGGTGACTCAACCACTTCCCTGGGCAAGCCTGTTCATGCTTGACAACCCTTTTGGTGAAGAAATTTTTCCTACTACCCAATCTAAACCTCCCCTGGCACAACTTGAGGCCATTTCCTCTTGTCCTCCCGCTTGTAACTTGGGAGAAGGTACATATGATACCATACACTTAAGAGCTTAACTCTTAATAGTACCCGCCTACACTAAGCTCTTATTGACTAACTTCCAGTGTGATTTACTGGTTACAGATATTACCCCTGTGGAGTAATATCTGTTAATCATTTCATAATGGTATTTTTGCTGTAGGTTTTATTTCCCCTGTAATTTGTGATTCTAAATACAAGTTGAAGGAAGCAACCTTTTAGTGCAATATTAAGTATCAGTAGAATTTTATACATATATATGTATAAACCCCCCCACACACTGCATAAACAAACAAGGATGTAAGGTAACTGTTGTGGGTATTGTGCTTCCCTTTCTTCCCCTCCCCCTTACCTTTGTTAAGTGACTGGAATAAACATTCATGGTGAAAAACTATCCTGTAACCTCTCATTTTCAATGAATTTTGAAAAATTACAGACTTGTAATTTTGAAAGCAGGTAGGTGGCTTTGATGAAAGTTATTAGCAGAGAATCAAATCCTGTGGCTTTGCAGACTCATCCTTACGTAAACACATCCCTGCCATGAAGTTCAACGCATAACACATTGTTCCCTTTAGACATGCCTAAAAGAGTATTTCACCTTTTTGAAAAAATTGTCCTTACATCCCTGTAATTATCTAGCTCTTCTGTGTAGATATAGCTCTATATATGAAATAATTTGTAAAAAGATAAATTATGCTATTTTCAAAATACTCTGGATACAAAGTTGTGCAGGTGCAAGTTTGATAGTATATTGCTATAAAGACTAAGAATTAATTCATTAGTGTTATCTGAGTATATATTCTTTAAGCTGCGAGTATAGATTTAATATTGCGGGGTTTTATTTTTGCTTTTTTTACATTTCATAGCATTTCATACTTTCTTCAGACTATCTCCATGTTTCTATCAAATTCCTTCTAGTTTTTTTTTTTTTTTTTCAATTTCTGATCCCTTAAAGGTACAGTAGCTGATCACACATTCATGCTTGTCACTAATGTATTTCCATAACTCTGGTAGACTGAAAAACATCTTTTCATTTCCACCTAAACACAGTTATTTCTTCTAAGTGAATAGCGAGAGGCTTCTGGCAAAAATCTTTCCCCCACTGAAATTGATAGAACCAACTTTTCAGCTTCGCCCTTTAAGTACTCTGCTCTTCTAGGCTTACAGCATCGTGGAGCAAAGCCCCAAACAAACTACGTGTATGCACAGTTACTGAGGCTGTTATTATTCACGGAGCATAGCACGGAAACCGAAATCAAATGTTCTCATTGGTATTTCTACATTTACATACAAAACTACTCACAGTGCTGTGAAATACTGACAGAGAAAAAAACACAACAGAAATGTTTGGGGTTTGACTACTCTCTCCACATTCCTCTGACCTAACTATAAGAAAGCCAGCTGACCAGCTTGCTTCTACTAGACATACTCTTTTCCTGCTAGTCTCTTATGCCAGCTGACAGCATTTCTAAATTAATAAACACCAGTGACTCGGCCTAAAACGGAGCATGTTGCAGCCTGTGTCATTGACCTTGTTCACTCTGTGTTCCAACACGATGCAATAAATTACCACTGCAGAGAAAAGGATGGAAGAAACTGAATTTCTAATACTGCCTGTGTAGCAGAAACCACCTACTCGCCTAAGTAAAACCATGCGTATCTGGAAGGTGAAGGAAGGCTCGGGTTGATTACGCTGTTTGGTCTATCTGCAGGACAGCTGCTTGGGTGGTTTCTTCATCAGATTGTTCTGTTTCCCCGCCGACTGGGTTGTTTCTTTCATCATACAGTTTCTGGCTAGGAACTTCTAGAGGCATCCCATACTCTTCATCATCTTCAACAATGGACAGCTCAATGTTGTTGTTCATCATGGCGTTCCCTTCCATTCTGGCTTCCTTCTCTAGAGAATCGGCTACTGCTTTGCCCTCCTCGGTCAGTGAGGTGGTAGGTGTCATATCCGAGTGCATGTCGGCGAATGACATTTCATCCTCATTCTCAGCTTGGTCGTTGCTTGTACTTTCTGCTGGTCTGTCCTCAGCTTCAGCAGGGCTTTCTCCTTCATGGGCTTTCTTCACGTTAAGCGTGAGGGGAGATACTTTGAAAGCTGAACTCTTTGAAGAAGAGGATTTCTGATGATGTACAGTAAGCGATTTCTTGATCTTTTCTCTCCGTTCAGGCGAGACGATCTTTGTGCTGATCTTGTTCATCTTCTTCTCGATGTTTTGGCGGGAAAATGCTTTCTTGAGGCTGTCTACTTTCTTGAGGCTGGATCTTTTAATTTTCTCAGCTCTTGATTCTTCTGTTTTCTCCTCTGCACTGTCATCCACATCATCTTCCTCGTGAAACATTTCATCATCTGAACACAACTCCACTGTGTGCAAGGTTTCTTCCAGTGTTTTGTTCTCATCCACAGGATCCTCTTTTCCTTCTGTAATGCTGGGAATAGGCTCTTTTGCAAAAACACTGGCAGGGATCTCATTTTCCTCCTGAAAGAATTGACAATATTTGAGTTTCATAGTTCACAGGACACAGATTTAATAAACAAAGCACAACCCTGAACAATTACTTCCCCCCCCCCTGGATGAGATGAAGGATGCTGAACATTTCTTGTTGTTTCAGTGTATTTAACCAGTAACAAGCCACTCAAAGCCCAAGGAACCATTATCTGGTACAGTTTAAGACTAATGAGCTGTCAGCTGTAAGATTTCTCTTTCAGAGTGACTTGGAATGTATACAGAATGGAAATCCCATTCTTTGTCATTTAAATTAGATACTCATTAAAGAGTTTAGCTGTAAAGTTGTACACCTATCCCTGGGGAGAAGGGATGGTGTGGTGGCTAAGGAGGTCGTACTACAGCCTCCTGCATAGACCTACAGAAGTCACGTAACCCCCAGAGCTTTCAGTTTCTCTAGCTAAAGATTGGGAATATCTCTGCAGAGACGTTGGGTGCATCTGAGAGGTACCTTGGATGGCAAATGCAGTTAGCGCTCCCACTGTATTTTAGAGAAATGTATGTTGCTGTTAAAACTGGATTGTTGGTACCGAGCAGCCATGCAGTCTATGATGTTTAGAGTGTGTGCTATTTCCCATCTATTTACAGCACAGAAAAAAAAAAAAATTGGTAAATTTGGTTGGTAAATTAGTAAATATTAAAAATACGGACAGGGCAACTCCTTGAAAAATAATAAAAAAAAAGTTTATGACATACAACAATAAACAGACATTATACCACATAGAAAACACTAGTAGTCACTTCTAGCTAAGAGGAAAATGGTTGCTTTTTAGAAACAAAACCAAGAAAGGGCATGGAAAGAAAGAAGGTATCTGAAAACAGTACAGGCTGAACAAGGGCAGAAGCTGCAACTTGTAACGAAGGACCTCTGAGACTACCGAGCACAGCAGCTCTGCAACACCGAGCAGTTCAGAGGCAGCACAATGAACACTCTGTTCTGCGGTAGGTTTTGCAGGCATCTGCCTATGCAAAGAAAACGAGGTTCCTCGCACACTCCCTTTTCTTTTCAGAATTGTTACGCCTTAGATCTGCATATTCTCTATTTATTACCTTTTTTATCACCTTCCGACAGAGTGCATGCAATATCACCTAGTGTTATGGATTGGAGGGATTTTTTTTTATCCCCTCCCCCCCATATTTATCTTTAGATACGAAAAGCAGTAAGTGCTGAGTGAAATGGTTGTAAATAGTCTCAGATCTGTCCCTAGTGGGCCTGAGTGTACAGTTAAGGGAAAAAAGGCCACATACACTTCAAAGTTCATGCTCATTATTTCAGGACTGAGCATACAGTTGTGATCACTGGAGAGAAGAGTGTCTCGAGTTAAATTTGCTGTCAAGACTGTATAAGGATGTCTTTATGAATATACCACAGTACTTTGTACATGGTTGTTTTTAAAAACAAAATACTCCCGACTACCTTGTAGTGCTTCTGGAACAAGAATATGCACATAGACAGAATCATTTTATACCTTGTATACACAGTATATAATCATATATACTGTGATTCAAGTGTGTTGATGAATATCCCTCAGGGATATAAAAATGAAAAGTATCAAAAAATTGATGGCTGTTTGACAGTTTGTATGTGCTTTGCTTCTACGGTTTCCGCACCCCTTCCTGGACCAGCAGCCTCAGTCAGATACACTGGCACAGATGAAGCTTTCCAAGCCCTTTGCCTGCAGTGGAACATCTAATAAAGCCAGCATTCTTCTCCCGACACCTATAATGTTGTTGCAACTATCGGCAATAGTGACCAAGATAACAAAACAAAGAAATCCTGCACCAGCTTTAAGTGAAAACAGCTGTAACTGCAGTACAAATATTTGTATTTTCTCTCCACTGCAGTTAATGAAATGTGGATTACATGAGTGGGTGCAGTATTAAATTATTCCCCAGAGCATGAGAACTCAGTATAAAGCATAATTTACATGTCTTGTGCATTCTTTCCAAACCTAGGTAATCACATACATACAGTTTTAAGCATCTCAACATTCAGGTGTTAAGTGACCGAATGGCATAGAAAACTCTGATTTTAATGAGTAAAGATGGGTTGTAACTTTTAAAGTATTTAGTCTAGGAAAGTGGTGTTGCATGAGATGACTGATCACAGTGCAGTCTGAGCCAGAGATGGGTCTGTGTGGCTCATCTCAAGGTCAGTTTAGCTCTGTGTCTACAGTATTCACGTTAAACTGAAGTACTGCATGCAGTCTCTAGAAGAATATGAACATAGATTTTATTTCAATTTTTATCAAATTTGTGACTGAGTAGAAGGGAGACTGTCAAACTATCCATATTTATAAAGAAAAAAAAGCAAACAAAAATATACTACATAATAATGAGCTAATGATTCAATTAAAAGCAGGTCCTAGGTGGTCTTTGGCTATCAGACAGTACTGGCATTCAAGAAATCACCTCTCTGTCTAAGCTTCCTGCATGGCCCTGGAAAACATCAGCCTCTGGGCATCTATTACTCTGCTTGTAAAATGGGAATGGCATGCTTTCCTATCTCATGTTTCTAAAAGACCTTAGGATCGCAGGAACTATTGAAATGAAATGAAAATAAATTAAGTAAAATGCTTTGGAAATACAAAGCTGGTATAGTAGGAATGCTCTGTGGTGGAACAGACGTTTCTGTTTCAAATACAGTTACTGATAACGTGTTGTAAGTGGGCTATTGGTAACTTTTTGGTCTAACAAGTTTATATGACACCTATATTTTGTTTTGATGTATTTTTCAAGCAGTCTAGTATTTCATTTAGGAAGACTAGAACAATACACTGAAAAATGCCAGCTGTTACAAACTGCGTAACTATTTTCCATGCCAAAAAAGTAGAACTTTGATCTTTTCTTCTTGATCTAATCTAAAATTCTGAGAAAGCAATACATCTTTTTATTTTCCACATCCGAGTTCAAAAACAGCACTTGCATTTTCTCAGATGAGCTTGACTGTAGGTAGCTAGCTCCTCTGAATTTTATTTTTTCCGTGTAGGAGCCGAATAGACTTGTGCAAGTTCTCTGTGTAAAACAACTCTTGCTAATACTAGCAATACTTGCCAAGTTAAAATCAGTGCCTTCCCTGTGGCTTTGATCAGCCATTCTCGGGAACTTTCTATAGGTTATAATCTCAACCCTATCTTTTACCAGAAAGGAAGATAAGATCCATAATGGCGTACTACAAAACCAGATGGCCTGAGTGAACAGGTAGTTAATTTACTCAGGAGTGCTGAATCTCTGATGCTGCATAAGGGAAATCGGTGTGCTTTGGTTTGGATTTTTGATAGGTTTGTGGTAAGAGGCCATGGCCTTCAAGAAGGGGAGATGGTATTTTCTCATGCTGACAGCAGTCCAGGCTCCTCTGTACTTTGTAGATGCTGTTATATGCCTAAATGATTACTAGTCTAAAACTTGTTTTGCTACACAAAATAGGTCAAAAGATGACAAATCCTTCTAAAAACAGCTATAGCTCCACCTGCTTTCCTTCAGACAAATAAATGCTCTTCAGACCTGGATGTCACCACGGGGAGGGAGGAGGGCAGGGCGGAGGAAATTGCCAGCTGCCCATTTGCACGTCCTGTGCAGGCTGGGGTGTTCTGGGAGTGCGTTGTGGGTTTGGCTGCACGGTCCCCCTGACCTCCCACAGCACAGCTGGATCAAGTCCTAAGAGCCATATGAGATATTTTTGTCGTTAATCTATGTAAGAGTGTTCTCCCTGCAAGGCGCCAGTGGGAAATTTAGTAGTTAGATCATAGCATTATCGGTTTGTAATTCTTCTGTTTCCTTCACTTGTTCGTTTTTGAGTTTGAAGTTGCTTTTTCAAAAGATTATTACAGCGACCCAAACAACAAAATACAACCAAATGGCTAATTTCCTGTACCCTCCTCTTGCTTCATTTCAGGATGAAGCATTTACCAAGAGCAGCATCTGAAAGGGGCTTTTGAATATCAGTGTGCTTGACCCCAAGCTGTAACTTTAACTTATTTTATCTGTCCTATTCACTAGTAAACATGACATTTAATTGAAAAATTAAACATGAGCCTTTTGTATCTTGCATTTTGCTTCTGTAAGAGCAGCATGGGGCTTGAATATCAGTGTGCTTGACCCCAAGCTGTAACTTTAACTTATTTTATCTGTCCTATTCACTAGTAAACATGACATTTAATTGAAAAATTAAACATGAGCCTTTTGTATCTTGCATTTTGCTTCTGTAGCTAAAATAGCAAACAAAAACCCCACCAAACCAGAACCAAAAAGCTGGTCATGTGGCAAGAACAAAATAAAGGGGAACAATGCCAAAGCTTAACAAGGATTTTTGAAACAGTCACTTCAGTGTTTTGCTAAATTGCTGTGTCACTTGTGGCATTTGTAATAACTTTTGCATCCTCAAATGCTTGGAACGGAGCTCCATTAACATATGGCACAAATTAAAGAAATATGTGCAAACTGGGAACAATGCAGACAGTCTAGGGAGAGAAAACTAAGAGCATTTTAATGGAAAATATATAAATAGCTGAACTTTTCTAAACGCAGTTCATTCTCAGCATGTATGCTGATGGAAGGCCGATGCTGGTGAGTGGCAGCACGGTTTCATAAAGCGCAGAGCTGGAGCTCAGTCGTGTTTTGGCTATGCTCAGTGCTCCCACCAAGTATCAGGGAGTTTGAGGTATATGGTGAATGCAGAACTGAATCACAAATGTGTATTTTTATTTTCATAGCAAGCTGTCTTCCCAAGCCGGAAAAGCGGGTCCTAATGAGAAACATGCTGTGTGATGTTTGGGATTGGTTTTTTTTCAGTGGAAAAAAAGAATCCCCCAACTGAAGAGAAGCCTCATATATCCAGATTTCCCTTTTGTTTTTACAGAAATCTGGCGTCAATATGGCTTCATTGCTGTGACTTCTCCTTCCTGCAATTGTTTTTCCATGGATTCCTGCTCGGGGCAGTACAGAAACCCAGCCAGCCTTCTGCTCTTTTCCCCCTGTACAATTATCCCAGCAAGGCAGTGGCCCTGCTGACTACTGGGTCATCCCACCTCCACCTTGTAAGGACACCCCGCAGGGAGATTTTGAGGAGGTGGGCACGCAGGTAAGGCACCTGCCCAGGCCGGCAGCAGGCGTACGGGCACAGTCTCGTGAGCACCCGCCATCCCTCTGGGTGCGGCCACTTCCCCAGTGGAAAATCCCAGCTCCTCCCAGGCTCCACCAGAGAAAGCCCTAGGCGCTGCCCACCCTGGCCACCCTCCCACGCCCCAGGAAGCTCTGCCGGCTGCCCTGGTTTTCCAGACAGCCACGCTGCCTTTTAGCAACAGGCCAGTGCCAGGAGCAATTCCCAGTTGACAGCTGAATTTTTTTTTACTGAATTTAACAGCAGTGTTTCTTTTCTAAGGCTTGTGTTCCTGATCTGCATCAGCTTGGGATCGGTTAAGTTCACCTCCCCCCTGGCGTGGCAACATATTTTCCAGTGAGAGATGGGAACACTGTCAACTAAATCCTTGTAAAAGCAATGACGAACAGACCTCCTGTCCAAAGGTACCACCCCAGTGACGGGCGGTGGAGAAGCAGTAGATTTTCTTTAGCTGTTGTTCTGGGACACAGACCTGTGTTGTTTTGGTTTGGGTTTGTGCACTTCAAGACCCAGTATTAAGGAAAGGCTTGGAGGTTTAAATAGGCCTTAGCTTTGCAATACTGTTTAGTGTCAGGAAGCAAGCCAAGCCAGCCCTCCCCTGTCGGGACGCTGCTTTACCCTTCAAACCCTTCTTGGCGAGTTTCACCAGTACTTTTTACCCAGTGCCTGCAGATCACTGCCGCTAGGCAGCAGTAATGGGGATCCCTAGCTGAGGCAACCGTAACTGCCCACACACAGCTGTGTTTTTGTCTTTCCTCTACACACTATGTCATCTTAAAATGCTGAAATTTGGGTTCTCTGGAGGAAGACGCTGTGGTTGCAACAACAAGGCCTTAATTCTCACGCTTGCAGGTAGCAGAAATGTCACAAAATTACCTTCCCACAGGCCAAGCTGGTGCACCCTCCCCACGGGAAACGTTCAAGGTCTAGGTCTGAACCTGGAGGCGGGAGCCAGTCGTTAGCTAACACAGCCTGGGAGATGGCAATGTTTTGACTTACAGTAACAGATCTTAAATTACTTGGAGAAGTCCAGAGAACATGTGTCTTTTAATTTACCCAGTCCCTGGAATAATTTCAACATTCCTTCTAGGGTGGAAACCACTGTGCTCTGTATGTGCTGCAGCTCCTCCTCTTCTGGCTTGACAAGCCTGGACAGTAATTTGGGAGAACAATAAGCAGGGAGGTGGGGGCTTCCTTTCTGGGGGGAAGTGCCTGTGTACTAACCAGGCCTGCCAGCTTTTAAAATCAAGTTCTGCCCTGTTGTTTTGGGCTTGTTTATATAGAAAAAAACCCCCAACAACCCAAGGAGTAGAGTTAGCTACTGACATGTAATATGCAATCGACAAGTTTAGCCTGAGGAGCTGGTGATGTGCCCGACCTGTGGCTGCTCCAGCCCCGTGCTTGCTCTCCTTCCTTCCCCCAGTCCGTTGTGGAGGTCTGTCTTGTCTATTTTTTGTAAAGATGTAAAAGTCACATCCTGTGTTTAGTTAAAGCTCACGCCGTGTTCTGTCCAGACCATTGCTTAAAAAGGGGAAAATATGCAAACTGCTGCTATCACTGGATGGACTCCCAGGAAGCTGAGTTTTTAGCTCATCCCTGAGTGGGCCAGGGCCAGAACAGCCTCAGGAGCAAAGCTGGGTGTGAGGCTGATTGTGACAGGGAGCTGCAGCGCTGCCCCTCTCCTGCTTCTGAGGGCAGATGCAAGGGCAGTTTTTAGGGGCACTGCTACAAGTTAGCAAAATGGTCTCTTTTCTCAAGTTTGCTAAAAAAAAAAAAAAAAAAAAAAGCCTTCAAGTTTGCTTAAAAAACAAAAAGGAAAACACAACAAAACAATTCTTTCCCCACGCATGCTAAGACTTAGTAAAAGATAGCTCTTTCCCCAAGTTTGCTGAGAGTTAATGAAACAAGGTCTCGTTCCTGAGGTTTGCTAAGAGTGAGTAAAAAACAGCTCTTTCTCCAAGTTTGCCAACAGTAAAAGAGGGCTCCTTCCCCACAGTTTGCTAAAAGTTAGCAAAAAAAGGGCTCTTTCCCCATCTTTGCTAAGAGTTAGCAAAAAAATAAAGGGCATTTTCCCCAAGTTCACCAAGTGTTAGCAAAAAAGACAGCTCTTTCCCCAGGTTTGCTAGGAGTTAGCAAAACAGGCTCTTTCCCCAAGTTTGCTAAGAGTAAAAGCGGGCGTTTCTCCTAAAGTTGCTAAGAATAAAAGAGAGCTCTTCCCCCAAGTTTGCTAAGAGTTAGCAAAAAAGACTGCTCTTTCCCCAAGCTTGCTGAGATTGAAAGAAGGTTTTTCTCCCAACTTTGCTAAGTTAGCAAAAAGGCAGCTTTTTTTTTTCCAAGTTTGCTAAGAGTTAGTAGTAAGTCAGCTCTTTCCCCAGTTTTGCTAGGAGTTAGCAGAAACAGGCTCTTCCCCCGCCCTCGTGAGGAAGGTGCGGGGGGGATGCAGGGCGCGGTGGCCGGGGGGCACGGGGTGGTCGCAGGGCCCCTCACCTGGAAGATGAGCACCTTGAAGCGGTCCCGCCGGAGCAGCTGTGCGTGATGCTGCTCCAGGCGTCGCACCTGGTCGCACTGCCTCTCCAGCCGCTCCCGCACGGCGCGGGCGGGGGCGCACACCTTCCGCGACTTCTCCAGCAGCTTCTCCACCGCTTCCCCCGTCGCCCCGTGGCTGCGGCACAATTTCCCCAGGTCTCCCTGAATACCCCGCACCGCCCCTTCCAAACCCCGCTGCCTCTGCTCCATCTGCCGCTGTTGTCCTTCCACCGCTTCCAACATCGATACCAGCTTCTCCAGCAAGGCCAGGACGGTCAGGGCGTTCACCTGCCCCCCG